CCATTAGGGGTAGGCTAGTGGTCGAAGACAAAAATCTGCCATTACTAAGGCCGAAAGGCTGGGTGGTTCGGGCAGGATGGACACTTGTTTTGAACATTCCTTTTGGGGTGGGAAAGTGGTCGAAAAAATTTCACGGCTTCGAGTTGGATGGTCGCTTGTTTTGAACATTTCTTTAGAGGTAGGCAAGTGGTCGAAGACAAAAATCCACTATGATTGAGGCTGAAAGGCTGGGTGGTCGATCCTAGTGCGTGGTCGTTGAAGATATGGAGATTATTCGAGGACCTCGGAGGTAGGTCGATTGTTTTTACTTGATTTGGTGTATAGATATATTTTTAACCTCAATGACAGGCCGAATGGAGCCTAAAAATCCACCATGGCTAAGGCCTTCGCGCTGGGTGGTCGATTCTAGTGTTGGGTCGTTGAGGACACAGAGTTTATTGGAGATCTCGGTGGCAGGTCGATGATTTTTCACTTGATTTTGGTTTTGTCGAATTTGTTTTCAACCTCAGTGGCAGGTTGATGGAATTCATTTGGTGCAATTAATGGAGATTATTGGTTGGCCTTTGTGGCAGACCGATGATTTTTACATGATTTTGGATTTGTCGTATTTGTTTAAAAACCTCTTCCTCTTTGTAAAAAAAAAAGGAAGGTTTTCGACCTCAGTGGCAGGTCGATGGAGTTCATTTGGTGCAATTCATGTAGATTATTGGCTAACCTCGGTGGCTGGTCGATGGTCTTTTGTTTGATTTTGGTTTTTTCGATTTTTTTCGACCTAAGTGGCAGGCCGGTGGAGTTCATTTCACGGAGCTATGCAAGTCCATGGTTTTTACTTGGTTTGGATTTTATCGAATTTATTTTTCGACCTCAGTGGCAGGTCGATGGAGTTCATGTGGAGCAATTCATGGAGATTATTCGAGGACTTCAGTAGCAGACCAATGATTTATTACTTGATTCGGTTACTTGAGTTTATTTTTTGACCCAATGGTAAGTCAGGGGAGTTCACTTGGTGCAGTTGACGGAGTTTATTTGTAGACTCGGCGGCAGGCTAATGGTTTATTACTTGATTTGGTTTTGTTGAGTTCATTTTTTTTTTTTGATCCAGTGGTAGGTTGAGGGAGTTAACTTAGAGCAGTTCATGTAGTCAGTTTATTTAGGTCGATGGTTTTATTTGGTTTGTTTTGTCGAATTCGGTTTTTCAACATGAAGGTGGCGTCAGGACATTCGGTGTTTGAGAGGATAAACAACAGGGCTGAATTTTAAATTTTGAACTAAGGGGCGACAGGACGAGGTGGTCGAAAAAGTATCTTTGAGCGAGGAGAGCTCGAACATGGTGACCAAAAATCAGAAGACTTAAGTTCAAATTTTCGAATTCCTGATTAAGGGGAGAAGTCAAGAAAATCTATCAAAGTATCATGAAAGTCCAAGTAAATATATCTAGAGATATCAATCGAAGATCGACATTACAAAATGAGGAGTAAAGGAATTTACTCTAGGAATCAAGGTTCGACCTGAAGGTGGCATCAAAGCATCCGATTTTCGACCTTAGAGGTAGGTCATTGGTGTTCGACCTCAGTGGTCATGCAATTTTTTACCTCAGCGTGGCGTCATGCTACTCGGTATTCGACCTCAGCGGCGGTCATTTGATTTTCGACCTCAGAAGCAGGTCATTCGGTTCTCGACCACAGTGGTAGGTCATTCGATGTTCAACCTCAGAGGCAGGACTTTCGGTTTTTTACCGCAGTGATCATTTGATTTTCGACCTCAGAGGCTGGTCATTCGATTCTCGACCTCGGTGTCATTCGGTATTCCATCTCAGAGGCAGGTCATTTGGTTCTCGACCTCAATGGCAGCTCATTCGATTTTCGACCTCACTATTCATTCGGTGTTCGACCTTAGAGGCAGGTCTTTCGGTTTTTGACCCCAGTTGTCATTTGGTGTTCATTTAGGTCTCGGTGCTCATTTAGAGGTTTAGTGACTATTTGGTGGTCGATGATATATTTAGATTATAACTAAGTGGCAGGTTGATGGAAACAACAGATGACACATTTCACTCTTGGTTCGAGTTATGCTCACTCGACCAAAGTGGATGGACTAGATGATATGTGATATAATACTGGACCGACTTTAATACTAGACCGGTTTTAACGGACAAGAACGAATATATTGGAGAATAAACCTACACATGGCTAGAACACATGGCCTAATTGTATTGGTCAAGTTCAACACCAGCCTAATCACTGGTTGAGCTAAATCATGAAGAATGTAGCTAAGGGGTTGGTTCTCGCCGTGCTGCTCGTTCCGTTCCATGTTGATTTGATTGTATGACTCTGAAGATTCAAGAAGAAGATTGGCCAATGGATCCTCAAGTTTTGATGAATGGGATTGTCGCTGGCAATAATAACACGTCCACTCCTGGTATGCATAGAGAAAAACAACAAAAAGGTCAGGAGCATCAGATATACAAATATAGACGGCAAATTATCAAAAATATTAATGCATAGGCAATACAATTATGAACAAGCTTACCTTGCAGTTCTAAAAGTTATTTAACTAGATTAGACTGTAATCAATTGACTAATTCTAAGAATCAAACAACCGCATAAGATGAACAACGCAAAAGCACGATTATCACAAGAACATGAACAATTATCCCCTATCCTTAGCAAATAAAATTAGCTCATCATGATAAAATTAACACAATTAATCGATTCAACCATAAACATACAATACATCGACAAAACGACAATGAAAGCTTACGATTAAACCGAAGTCAAATGTCAATCCACAACCACAAGCCGGAATATCCAAATAGTTCTCGGAGTGTCACTCTCCAAGAGTATCTTTAGAATATTATAATTTTATATATTATTATATAATATCATTTGAATTAATAAAAATACTCATTAGAATATTAAATTTTTTTTATATTTAATTATATATGAATATGAATATATTAAAATGTGCTTTACTACCAAATATTGCTTCCATCACGACCATCTATATTCAAATAAAATATATATAAAAAATAATGTGTTATACTAAAAAACAATCATGGATATCTACCAAAAAAAAAAAAATATATATATATATATATAGAAGAAATATAATGTATTAGACTTTAAAAAGAAATCATCTATATCCTAACCAAACAATATATATAACATTCTTAATTCAATATTCTATATCCTAACCAAAAAAACATATAACATTCTTAATTTAATATTAATAAATGTAGTGTGCAATACATTTTTCTTGTATCCATGGTAACATTCTTAATTTAATATTAACAAATGCATTCTTAATTTAATATTAACAAATGTAGTGTGCAATACATCTTTCTTATATAAGCCTATTCTTAATTTAAATACTTGTAAAGTTATCTTTAGTAATTTTTTCTTAAATTAATATTTTCTTCTTTTTAGTTATCTTTAATAATTTTTGATAGAGTGTAATTTTGATAGAATGTGTAAATAAACATAATTACAATTTGATATTAACAAATTGTAATTTTTATTTATGAAGTGTTAATTTTATTTATTAAGAAACTGCATTTTTACAAATAAAAAATAATAATAATAATAAAAAGATCTTATCACCATAAGATTCATTAAAATAATATGGTAATTATTATATATTGTGTTATAAGATAAATATGAATATTGTATGATGGCCATATCTACCAAAAAAAAAAAAAATGTTGCTTCAAATACAAAATATTTGTATTGTAACCATAATAATTCGTGTGTTTCATAAATATAAAATAACAATTAATATCTCAATGAATAAATGTGGTAACACACGACATCCTTGTTTTTAATTATCACTAGTACATCCAGTGCGACGTACGAGACAAAAATATTAAATGAGTTATTTTCACAGCCTTGTTCGTTTAAGTCTAAAAAGTAATAGGACTATTATCCATTTTCTACATCTTTTAATCAACATTAAGCCTCAAAAAGAATAGGGTTAAAAGTTTTTTTCCACATCTTTTAACCAGCGTTTTTTTAGCAGAACATTAAATATGAGCATGTTAGGGCTAACTTATAAAATAAATAATATATTATCTCACTAAAACATTTATACTAATAAAAAATTAATTTTAGCATATAAATTTATCCCTTGATATAAGAGAGTAAAAGTTTTACTTATTTTTGTTTACCATATAATATTTAATTATTATTTTATTATATAATAGAAAGGAATACTGTTAAATAGTGTAGTATAATTGTTATAAAATTACATACAAAAAATTTAATTTTGTTACTTTTATGTATATTATATGACAAAATACTATATTATATAATTTTAAAAATTTAAAATTAATTATCTGGTTCAACAATTGACCCAATGACCCGAACCAGTGGCTCGGTGACCCAGAGACCTGCCTGGGTCGAATACCGGGCCGGGTTTAAAAACTATGTTACTAACCTTTTTTTTTAACTCAACATCAATATCCTCAATATTATCAATATAACTAAATAATATCACTCAATCATTCTTACACATTCCATCAACTTCAGTATATTATACATCCACTCACATAATATTAACTAACCATCACTTCATCATCTCCTACTTTTACATCAAAACAACTTTAATTATTTTATTTTAAAACTTATTTTGATATAAACTCAAAACCTCACTAACAACTAACCATATCACTTTATTCAAAATTAACCATACCAAACTAAAAATTCATACAAAATCCAAATATTTTAAATCCAAACATAGGGTTTCAAGAATAAATCTCATCAAGAAACTCTTCGTCAAATGCATAATTGTTTAGTCTAAAAACTGAAACTCTCGTCCAAACGTCTCTTTGGATTGCTCTTGATAAATCTTTTAGCAAATGACCGAATATAAAGAATCGTGTAAAACATACATACAAGTCTTGACGTTCGCTCCAGATACTTTTACGAACACAAGTACGAATATAGACAAACATGTACTTAAGAATTTATTGGTGCTACTTTTACGAACCCGTTTACCTTATCCGAACCATGGTCGAATACCTTATCTCTTTCCAGTTTCTAGGTTATCTATTTCGACTAGGTGGTGATCAAACAACTAATAACGACACTCAAACAATTCGAACATGCACGAACAATCACACATCGTTTGCTAAACGTACGTGGCAATTTTCACAAAGGCTATATATATAGCTATAGCCTATAAATTTCGAAAGAGCCTCAATTTGAATACAAGGTATAAACGTCTTAATCTTAAAAAAGTTTGCGATTCTTGAAAGCTAATTCCAATCCACCAAAAAGTGGAGAACAGATAGATCCCAAAAGCTTAAGTTATAATTCTGCAAAACCAACAGTAATAGTTACTTTCTCGTCAAGCAAGGAAAATATATTGGTATATATATATGTGCGCCTATAAATATTAATTTCATATGTACATATACAATTCACATTATAAGACTAACAAAGTTTCCAAAAGCTTGTCTTTTAATTTCTTTTTTTTTACCTACTTTTCTTGTGGAGATCAATAGCATACAGGTAAGATATGTATATATATATATATGATCAAATTTTTGTCAATTTATTTATTATTAATTTCCATAATACAAAGAACCTTTAATTAAATGCTTACAAAACTTAATTAAATTGACCTTTTTTTTTGTTGTTGGTTTTGACAATCATAACCTTTTTGTGTGCAGAAGTTGATAGTGGATATAATGTGATGGCGCCTATAGGGGTTCAATTGTACATTCAAGATACTCATGTAAACACATTCTCCCTCCGTTAAACAAGTACAAATCAAACTATCATATTTCTGTTGGAATATTATTTGTGAGTCGTCCCACGTTGATTTGATAGGGTAAATGAGTTTAGTTTATAAGTTTAATGGGCTACTCCTCTCATCACTAATTGGTTCTGGGATGAAACCCCACTAAGATGCAATTAGGCTCACTCTCTTATGTTGTGCTTCACTGTGTGGGACCGCACCACTGATGCGCCCCGACTATCGAAAATTTGACAATTTCAACTTCCATCAAAAAATTAACGTAGATCATCATCAACACTGAAAAAATCCATTGAAATTAAACATCCCATAAAAGATTAGTTTTTATACAACTAACTATATAGAAACATTAGGTTGCAGACAGTGTTAGAATTCCATAAGAGGGACTAAGCAGATTGTGATAGGATATAATTACTCCACTCATCGATGTGTATTTCAAACAGTAAGTTCATACGCATACAGATTTTCTGTTTGATAATGGTTTTATTATTGATCAGGTGGTGATGGATAACGGCATAGTTCAGGTGACGTTATCAAATCCAGATGGCATCGTCACCGGAATCAGCTATAACGGCATCGACAACTTGCTCGAAATTCTCAACGACGAGTCGAACAGAGGGTAATTAATAATAATTTGTTGCACTGCCTTCACATTTCACATTAATATGTATTATCATAAGAACTATGGCCTTCACAGTTCAAAATATGTATTATTATTTCGCTATTTTACCTATCATCATATCACAATCACTTATTATTTTCTATTAAAAAAATAATAAATTAGAATAAGATGGAATGGCGTATATGCATTTCCAGTTGCATTCTAAAATGATTTTTTAAAATATAAGTAGAATAATTAATTTTTATTTTTATTATTTATTTATTTATTTTTTATTGTTGCACACTCATATATTATATTAAGATGACTGTTCAGGTACTGGGACTGTGTGTGGAATTCACTGGATGGAGGTAAAGCAGGAGGATTTGAAGTGTATGTTCCATTACATATGATTTTTGTTCCTCTTTTTTTAATAATAATAATAATAATAATAATAATAATAATAATAATAATAATAATAATAATAAAATAATAATAATAATAATAATAATTAAAAAAAACTGAGAATATGTGAGGTAGCATATGGCTATTTATTCAAGTGCACCTGTACACAGGATCAAAGCAACAAAATTTGAAGTTATAAATGAGAGTGAAGAACAAGTAGAGCTCTCATTTTCACGGCCATGGGATCCCTCTATTCAGGGCAAGGTTGCTCCTATAAATATAGACAAAAGGTAATAATAATAACAACAACAACAACAACAACAATAATAATAATAATAATAATAATAGTAATAATAATAATAAATAATTTTTGTAAATTTAATCTTCAATATTGTAGGTTTGTTTTGCTCCGTGGTAGCCCGGGATTCTACACGTACGCAATATACGAGCACGGTGGTTCGCCTGAGTGGCCCGCTTTCAGCCTTGGCGAGACCCGAATCGCTTTCAAACTTCGAAAAGACAAGTCCTGCTCGTTTTTTTTTTCCTCATTCTCTCTTGTATATACTCACATTGCTCGTGCGTTATAATCCATAGTCCATACCATTTTGATTTTTACACTGCATGGAAATCGTTGCAGGTTTCACTACATGGCTATGGCGGACAACCGACAGAGGTTCATGCCGTTACCTGATGACCGGTTAATCGGAAGAGGCCAACCTCTTGCATATCCAGAGGCCGTCCTCCTTGTCAACCCAGTCGAGCCCGAACTCAAAGGAGAGGTACCCATTCGGTCACTTCATATTCCAACTTTCACAAAGACTAACTCTTAACTAAATTTTCAATAACTATGTAAACTATAGTATAAATACTTGTTTCAAGATAGATATGACTTTTGAACATAACAAGTATGAATCTGTTCAAAAAATTACGACCAGACTCGTATAATAGACTTGCCTAACATAAATATTTATGAAAATAGGTGGACGACAAATACCAATACTCGTGTGACAACAAAGATCAAAAGGTCCACGGGTGGATCTCCATGGACCCGCCAGTCGGGTTCTGGATGGTCATACCAAGCGACGAGTTCCGAACGGGTGGGCCCTTCAAGCAGAATCTCACGTCCCACGTGGGGCCCACCACACTCTCCGTAAACATTCTCTACCCTTAAAAAATCCTCTTAAAAAGAAGTTTTGATTCCTTTTCGTGTGCCACTTAATTAATTAGCCCATCGTGTTATCAAATCTGCAGGTGTTTATCAGTGCACACTACACAGGGGAAGATTTGAACCCTAAATTCGGACAGGGAGAGGCGTGGACGAAAGTTTTCGGCCCGGTTTTCATCTATCTTAATTCTGTGATGGATGGAGATAATCCACTGACCCTTTGGGATGACGCTAAACGGCAGGTTCGGGACTTGATTATTTTGTTTTAAATGAGGAAGTTCACCATTCATTATAGCTTTGTTTAACGTACCTTTTTACAGATGCAAGTCGAAGTTGAATGCTGGCCTTACGCTTTCCCGGCATCCCAAGATTTCCAACCGGCAGATCAAAGGGGCAGTGTCACGGGCAGGCTATTGGTCTCCGACAGGTGATTTTGCTGCTCAACATTACCTCTTTTTTTTTTTTTCATTTTCTAATATTACCAATTTAGATGATAAATGATATGGTTTAATGGTTACCTTCTATCTTTCATTATAGGTATGTCAGTAGTGATACCATAAGTGCAAGTGGCGCGTATGTAGGAATGGCTCCTCCTGGAGATCCCGGATCCTGGCAAAGAGAATGCAAGGTTACTTCAAATTCTTATTTAATATATTCGTTTTCTCTCGATTCTTATAAAATATGAGCACATATACACAGACTGTTCATCCCCTGCTTCATAAAGAAATTACATCCACAACTGGAACAAAATGCTATAAGCAAATATATTAACAGCAAGTCCTTAAAGAGATGAGGAAAAGATAAAAAAGTAAAACATATTTGTTAAAGTAAATTCCTTATTAAAGCTAATAAACATGATGGAGCAGGATTACCAATTCTGGACAAGAGCAGATGAGATGGGTTATTTTGCCATCAACTATGTGCGCACGGGTGACTACAATCTTTATGCTTTCGTCCCTGGCTTCATAGGTGACTACAGAAATGATGGAAGCATCACCATAACCCCAGGTCCGTTTTATTCGCTCATCTGTCCCTCTAAAAATTTCAAATAATAGTAAATTAAACTGTCATCTAAGAGAAAATTACGTTGTGATATAGGTTGTGAGATTGAAATGGGCGAGATAGTGTACGAGCCTCTGAGAGATGGCCCCACACTTTGGGAAATAGGTATACCTGACCGTACAGCTGCAGAGTTTTATGTTCCCGATCCAGACCCTAAATATGTTAACAAACTCTATGTCAATCACCAGGACAGGTAAAACAAAATTGTCTTATTCATTTGACGACATCAATTCTTGTTTTTTTTTTTTCTTTTATATTCTTCTTTTGTGTTATGATAAGTATTACTTAGTGCAGGTTCAGACAGTACGGGCTGTGGGACAGATACTCTGTGTTATATCCCACTCAAGACTTGGTTTACACTGTTGGCCAGAGTGACTACACAAAGGACTGGTTTTTCGCCCAGGTTACCAGGTGTGTGTGTGTGTGTGTGTGTGTGCGCGCGCGCTTTTATAAGTTATAACTATCTTATCACATGAGGATGATCAAAAGAGTTAACAAACAAACAATGTGTATGAAATACTAAAACTCCATGTGAACTCTTATCTGTTCAAAAGTGTATGCAAATCCCAATGCGTATCAAATAACTAAACTCTTGCCCGGTATGTGATCAAGGAAAAAGGACAACAACACGTACCAAGGAACCACTTGGCAAATCAAATTTGCGCTCGACTCTGTCGATCAAAACGGGACTTATAAACTGCGGGTGGCGCTTGCTTCCGCAACTTTAGCTGAACTTCAGGTTTGTTAAGTTATATGCATCCTGTGGGTGACCAGCATTTACAAAACTATAACACGAACAAAATCCGTTTGCAGGTTCGAGTCAATAATCCGAGCACAACCAGACCATTGTTCTCGAGTGGGCTAATCGGGAGAGATAACTCGATTGCAAGGCACGGGATTCATGGACTGTACTGGCTGTACAACATAGACATAGGAGGTGGCATGCTTGTTCAAGGAGATAATACTATATACTTGACACAACCCAGAAGCCAAAGTCCTTTCCAGGCCATTATGTATGATTACATCAGGCTTGAAGCTCCATCCTAATAGACAATATACTCACTTTTTTTGTATCCTTTTTGTATGGTGTTGTTGAACAATAAAACACAAAATATTTGATCATTAAAGGCTCTCTACCTCTCTCTATCTCTCTCCACTGGCTGCAATCGATATTGTTTTGCCCTAACTGGTTTGTTGAGATCCAAGTTCCAGAATGCCGCCGGCGGCGGCTCAACCCATCCTGTAAAAAATTACAACCATTACCAAAATATTATCAACAGCATTACGAGCAAAAGCCCTCCTTTTAATTTTAATTTCTGGGCCTTGTTAAAGTTTCCGACCACCAAACCGGTACCCACCTCGATTTTCCGACCTTTTTTTTTTCTGGCGGATTCTGTTAGCCACCGGAGAAAGTGATCGCGTAATTACATTTCCATCATCCAGGCGCGTCTGTTACTAGCTTTCACGGCGTTTTTGGCCGGAGCACGCCTTCAGCCCTAATAGTGCCCAGTCTGCTTGTGGTCGAGTACGAGCTCGAGCTTAGGGTGCCCGAGTTCGAGTACGAGCTCGAGCTCCTAACGAGTCGAACTAAACTCGGTTCGTTAAATAAACGAGTTTGTAATCGAGCTCGAGCTCAACTTGTTTATCACTAATAACGAGCGAGTTCGAGTCTTAACGAGCTGATATTGTGTTTTAACGAGCTAAATTATCTAAAAATATATAAATATTTTTTTTGGCCTTATCGAGTTGAGTCGAGTCGAGCTCAACTTGTCTATCACTAATAACGAGCGAGTTCGAGTCTTAACAAGCTGATATTGTGCTTTAACGAGCTAAATTATCTATAAAGTATATAAATATTTCTTTTAGCCTTATCGAGTTGAGTCGAGTCGAGCTCAGCTCGTTAACCACACGAGTTTTAAATGAATTCGAATTCATCTCGTTTATCAAATGAGTCGAGTGAAGCAATGTTCATTTAGTGACAACACTAATATTAATACAACACCCGTGTACTGCACGAACATTGAATTAAGAAACGTTTACATCCAAATGTGTAGAACATAAACATAAATATTTTATTTAATTTTTTAAAACTTTTAAAATTGCATTGTTAGTTTTAACTTCTAAAATGATGTTCTGAGTGTTGTACATGAACATAATATATTAAGAAATGTCCTTCTTTTACCAAAAAAAAAAAAAAAAATTAAAGAAATAATTTTAATACTATTATATTGAATATTACCTTGTATAATAGTACGCTTAGGTAAAAATCGTGGCTCACAAGTACAGCCTAGCTTGATATTTAAAATATTGATTCCAAGTGGAAACTTTGAACCCATCGTATACTTACACGAAAGCTGGTACAAAATATAAATGCACAGTAATTATATCTGTTAATTATCTAAATACACTTGATTGATAGCAAAATTCACAATAATTAACATGCTAATGATCAAGGTCATACAGAAACTCTTGATAACAAAATAAATTGGAATGTATATTTTCGGGTAAAAACAATATTTTAAATACTATACCGTACAGTCTAGTATTATCGGGAATATTGGATATCGATGATCCGTCTAGCACGGTAAACCTCTAAATATCATTTTGACCACGATACATGATGTACGAGATTTGTAGAAAAATAATTATATTTTTACTAATTTATTTACAAAGTTTTACACTTAGTTTTACTATATTACATTTTTATTAGATTTTAATCAATTTTAGTATCCATTAAAGTTGGTTTAATACATTATTTATATCATAATAATAAATTAAATTAATATTTACTTAAACTAGTACAATATATAGTAAAACTAGTTGAAACACGTACGGGTGACACGTTCAGCATAATTGTCGGTCAAAAATATGTGTGCACTACAAATTTTTAGTAACATTTGATACCATTAATCAATATTAGTAGTCTCACGCCGTGCACGCACGGCGGACTTAAATCCGGTCTAAAAATATAGTAAAAATTTGTCATTAGTTGTTGCAGCTCATATTTTGGCTATGTTGCAGCTGTTCACATATATAATGTTGCAGTTGTTCGCATATATTATGTTTGGTTTGTTTTTATGAAAATGTTTTAAGATTTTGCTCTTTTGAGTTTCGCTATTGGTTTATGAGTTGTTAGGTCGTTTAAATTCGTGTATAGAGATGTTAAACGGTCTTTGGCCCGACGGGCCGGCCCGTTTAGCCCGGAAAAAAATAAAGCCCCATTCTACTCTGTCAAATGCTTTTGACATGTCAAGTTTAACAGCCATAACCTGTTTTTACCTGACCTCTTACTATTTAGATGATGAATGCATTCATTGGCAAGAATTATATTGTCCAAGATTTGTCTACCTTGGACAAAGGCTGATTGTGCAGGAGAGATGTAGTGATGCAAGACATGAGTGAGTCTGTTGGCAATAATTTTGGAGATTATCTTGTACAGGACAGTGCAGAGGCTGATTGGTCCCAGATCCGAAATGTTTTTGGGTTTTTTTATTTTGGGAATGAGGATGAGGACTGTGTGGTTGATGTTTTTTGGCATTCTGCTTTTAGCAAAAAAAGATTTAACAGTTTTGCAAATGAGTGGTTTAACAGTGGCCCAAGATTTCTGAAAGAAGGCTGGGCTCATACCATCTATGTCAGGTGTCTTGTTATGTTCCATTTCCAACAGGGCTTTGTGGATTTTAGCATCTTCCACTTTTCTGGTGAGGCTAGCATTCATGGATCAGATGTTTTGTAGAGGTTTGCAAAGTAGGCCTGAATTATTCCAGAATGTCCTTATCATTGCTGTATTTTTTACCTGAAGAGTTGGACATGTTATGCAGGCTATTCTGAGTTCTTCTTTGTTTCACTGAGGCCTGGAAGTATTTTGTGTTTCTGTCACCTACTTTGAGCCACTGAACTCGGGCTTTTTGTTTCCAATAGAATTCTTCCTCTAAGTAGGTTAAATGCAGTCTTCTCTGTTGAGGTGCCACTCTACCCAGTTTCTAAAGCCCCCTTGGGTTTCAAGCTTCTCAAGATTAGTTGTGCAAGTTTGGATGATCTTGGCTGCATTGGTGAGCTTGTTGCTTTTCCAGCCCAAGATAGCCTGCTTAACAATTTTAATTATGGCCATGAGGATGTAAAGATAAGGGCCTTCAACTTGTAACTTCCAAGCCTGCTCAACAATATCTTTGTATCCATCCATCTTCACCCATCTGGGATCAAATCTAAATCATTTTTTGAAATTCTTTTTAGTGTTGTCATTCTCCAAAATGAGCATATTGTGGTCAGATGATGCAAGAGAGATATTATGAACTTGGGCATGGGGGTTATCTAGGGACCAGTCAGGAGAGCAGAGAAATCTATCAAGTTTAACCTCGATAAAATCTTCCCCTGCCCTTTGATTGTTCCAAGTAAAGGGATGCCCCACCCACTTGACCTCAACCCCATATATACCCCTAACCAACTCCTCAAAAGGTCTCAAGCTGCTATCAGTTCTAATTCTACCTCCAGATTTCTCAGAGTTGTCCAAGATATCATTAAAGTCTCCTCCTATGAGCCACCTCCTTCCTCATGACAAGTTATGTCTTAATAGAAGTCCCCATTGGGCATTTCTTTCAGAAGTATCAGTGTTGGCATAAAGGAAGATGGCCCATTGGAGGTTACCTCTCCATCAAGTTTAAAATGGACTTCAAAGCAAAAATCAAGAAGGTTGACCTCTATAATATCAACCTTGTGAGACCAAAACAAAACAAGGCCACCTTTACTACCTATAGGTGTCTCATAGGACCATCTATCATCTGAATTTTTTGCAAACATTTTCATCATTTTTTTTTTAAAACTTCTGAAAGGAAGACAAAATCAGGGATTTGGAACCTTAGGATCCCCTTTAACTGGGAAACTGTAGAGGGTCCTCCTAGAGCCCGTTAGCAATGAAAAATGACCCGTGGCCGCCTCATACTCGACACGCCGGATGTGCAGGACGGGTTGGCTAGCTTGTATGGAGTAGTGTACTCATTAGAAGAATGGGAGGAAGGGGGTGCCAGATTTATTGACTACAGTTCAACACACATACCTTCATTGATCATTGTGGGCCCAGTTATGGCTGGTTGCCTACACCACAGTAGACTTATTGCTGGCTTAAATTCTAGGTTTTTTGGGATCTGTAGCACTCTCAGCCAATGGGGTTTCATTGGTGATAAGTACTGAGATATCTCTCTTGTTAGATCCCTTAGGGACTAGGTCACTCTGAATGACCGTATTGTCATTTTTGGTTCCCACTTGGGCTTTGGTTTTCCTGGTGAAAGTGGTTTTCTGCCTAGGGACTTGTTTAGGCTTCAGGCTGGCAGGTTGAACTTCAACCTCAATTAGGTTGTATGTGCTCAAGGATGGATGATCCTAGATAGGAGTATCCTTTTTAGTGAAAGGTGCAATTGAACTTGAACCTTCTCCTATCAATGGGGACTCTCTAATAGCAGTGTCCCTAGCCTGTGCAACATGGTCCATAGGCATTGGGATAACATTATCCTTAGGCCCTTGAGCATCAGAATTATGGACTGAGTTTCTATGGGAATTTTTATCGTCAGGTTGACTACCAGAATTTGGTTAATTATAGGATCTAGACTCAAAGTGGAACATAGGAGGGACTCTAAGCCACTCACCAAATTGACCCATGTTGATAGTGTCTCGACTTGCATCGTTTGTTTTAACAGGGCAATTTCGTTCCCCATGACCAATTTTATCACAATAAAAGTAAAAGTTTTGGAGATTCTCGTACCTTAGATCCACCCATTTTGTTTTTAATTTCAATTTGATTTTTTAACCTCGCAGGATAGGATCTTTGAGTTTGAGCAGCACTAGAATTCTGATGATTTGATCCAGGGTGTTGGATGAATCTGGAGTGATAACATCGAGAGGCCGTCCAATCAGTTTCCCAATTTTGAGTCCAATGTCTGTGCTTATCCAGTGAAGTGGGAGGTTGTGCACTTGAACCCAAATTTTTATTATTTCTTCGTCCTCCGTGAACTCCAGGTTGAGGGGATCCCAGAGCTAAAGAAGGAGGTATTGGCTGTCGAAATTCCATGTTTTGCCTCTGAGAATCTTGTCTCTATTCTCCTCATTCTGAAAAATAAATTGAAATGAGTTGTGCCCCAGGTTACGAACTGTAACTGGTTGTTTGGTCAGCCATATGTTGCTCAGAGTAGTCTTGAGCCCGTTGAAGTTGGCTTTTTTCTCACCAAAAAGTTTTTCGATGAGACTTTTCTGGCATTCCTGGATACCTGGGGTGATGTCATCGTCATACAGCTCTAGGCCTTCTTCTTCTTTAGACGAAAGAGCAAATTTTCTTAGTTTGGAGATGACCTCTTGTTCCATATTGGAACAGAGAACTCGCAATAAACGGGGAAAGGGGAAAAGGTAATGCAGAATAAAGGGAAAAATAAAGGGCTGAAAGAAAGTGAAGCGGGGAAAGGCAGAACGGAGATCTAGCGATGATGATGAGAAGATCAAAGCGAAGAATTGGGGAAAACGGAAATAGAAAACCCTAACTCTATCCTAAGAAGGAACTCGCACTCTAGAGAGAGAAATCTTACAATAGATTTTCGCTATGACGTGAAATATGGACTATGTATATAGATCATCAATTGCTAAAGGAGTTAGGGATGGCATCGTTCTAATTGGGCCTTAGAGAAGACAATTCAATTCCAATTCCCCTTTAATAACAATGAATTCGAGTACGAAGCTCTACTCACGAGACTAGAAACAGAGACCTCTATGGACTTAAAAAAAATTGGAACTATTCAACAATTCTTCGTTGTAAGTGAACCACATCAATAAAATTTTGAAGTCAATTTGTCTCGCTTGGTCCCCTTAACATAAGTATCACCAACGGTGTTGCTATTTACCGCCTCCCTTCCTCCTCACTACGTACCGCCCCCCTTGGATAGTTTTGCCCCTGATAGTTTTTTCTAAAAAAAAAAAACTGTCGACATCCAGTCGGCAAAACCGGACGTGCACGGTGTCGGCCGCAATCGCCTGTAGGACGTGACCATGCACGTCCGCGGTCGTCGGTGGGATGCGACTTTGCACGTCCGCGATCCCGGTAGGACGCGACCGTGCACGTCCGGTTTTGTCGGCCGGACGTCGACAATTTTCTTTTTTTTTCTTACTTTAAAAAAAATGTTAGGGGCAAAAATATCCAAATGGGGCGGTAAGTAGTAAAAAAGAGGGTGGTATTTAACAATTCACTATCACCAAATGCAGATCTTGTAATTTCTTGTAATTTCTTGTAATTTTTTAGAAGGATAAAACGATTAAAATCTCTAATTGGTCCCAATCAAGGTGAATTTGAAAAGCAATCTTTGTCTAAAAGATCTGTCAGAAGTTACTACCAAGCAAACGAGGGTAGCCAGGTTTTTAATAAGAGATGGAACACTGTAAACAGGGATAGTCCTCCTTTCTCTGTTTAAATTCCTCAACACAAATATATTTGAATACGTGATGCGAGAAATACACGAGGGTGTTTGTGGAAATCATTCAGGATGCAAAGCTTTGACATACAAGACCTTAAGACATGGCTACTATTGGTCGACCCTATGCAAAACGATTCTCTTTATTTAGTTAAGATATGCAACATGTGTTAGTTCTTTGCTCCACAACAACAATAGTAGCCTTAGGCTTAGGGGTGAGCAAAACCGAGCCGAAACCGAAAAACCGAACCGAACCGCTGCATTCGGTGCGGTGCGGTGCGGTTTCTGAAGTGTTTCAGTTTCGGTGCGGTTTGGATTTTTCAAAACCGCAAAAATTTCGGTGCGGTTCGGTTTTATGTCCGAAAGGTGCGGTTTTAACCGAACCGCACCGCATATGATAAAGTGTTATTTACTTTTACACTTTTACATACAAGCAATAGTGCAGCACTTAT